GAAATCACATTTTGCCCCCCCCCCAGGAAAAGTCCCTTTTTCGTAAAATTATACAAACAAACCAGCGAAGAATAACAAATAGATAAACGGAAAGAAAGTTTTAGGCTTTATCCTTTGTCCTTGTTTAACAAAACAATTTAAATTGTCACGTTTTTCTACCACTAAGTAATGATAAATTATTGTTAATAATTTTTTTATTTTTTGGATGCTCAGAATGCAGGAAATAGTATTTCCGTGTTTCAAATTTCAAAAATTTTCTGGGGATTATGCCCCCACACATGTGGCCTTCGGCCATTGGTATCCCCCTCTAATAAGTAAAGGTAAAATTTGCTGTGTTGGTGTAATGTACTCAGGTGAATAAGATGTTTGTGTGATGTTACTCTGAGTGTATATCCACACCGGGCAGGCTTGAAAAATATGCCTGGCCACGGTGGGAATCGAACCTACGACCTTTGGAATACTAATACTAATGGCATTTTTTCCTTCTTTTATTTCAAATACAAGTATAGTTAACATAAGTTTTGGAGGAAATTTGGATGCTCAGAATGCAGGAAATGGCATTTCCGTGCTTCAAATTTCAAAAATTTTCTGGGGAGTATGACCCCACACACGTGACCATTGCTATCCTCCTCTAATAAGTAATGATAAATTATGGTCAATATTTTTTTACTTTTTGTGCGTTTTTTCCATTTTCTATTTCAAATACAAGTATAGTTAGCATAAATTTTGGAGCAAATTTGGATGCTCAGGATGCGGCAAATGGCATTTCTGTGCTTCAAATTTCGAAAATTTTCGGGGGGAGTACACCCCCAGACCCCCCATTCATGCGCGGTATGTTAGCCACAGACGTGACCTTCAGCCATTGCTATCCCCCTCTAATATATTATCTCACAGAAAGGTCCCTTTTCAAAAAATGCCTCCCCCCCACGGGAAAATCCTTAAAAAAGGCCCTGAGCTACCACCACTGAATCCTCTCCTGCTACCTGCCTTTCTCCCTGCACCTAGGCCTGTGCCAAAAATTTTCCCTGACGAAGTTTGCACTAAGATGCTCAATACAAAAGTTTTCAAATCCAGCGGTCCTGACAATATTCCTAACCGGATTATTAAGGATTTCGCGTACGAATTGGCCGAATCTGTATGTCATATCTTTAATACATCTCTGTCCACTGGTGAATTCCCTAACATATGGAAAGATGCGTTAATTACACCAATTCCTAAAGCGCCATCCGTATCCTGTGAAGAGGAGTTGCGCCCAATCTCCCTTACAGCCTCTTTGTCCAAAATTCTTGAGGACTTTGTGGTCAATTGGATGGTGGATGACGTGAAACATAAAATCAACCCGCAACAATTTGGTTGCCTTAAAGGAACCTCTACAACGTTTTGCTTGATCGATATGATCAACAATTGGCTAAGAACATTGGATGATAAATCGAGCTATCTGCGGATCGTTTTCCTCGATTTTAGTAAAGCTTTCGACCACATCGACCATAATATCCTGGTCCCAAAGTTGCTGGCCCTTGGCGTCAGATTGTCGCGCTTATTCCATGGATATGCAGCTTTCTCTCAAATCGCCGTCAATCGGTAAAGATCGACAATTTCCAATCTGTTTGGGGCATCGATAACGCAGGTGTCCCTCAAGGAACTAACTTGGGCCCTATTTTAT